CACAGGTCCTGGAAGGGCACTGTGAACCTCCCACAGGTCCTGGAAGGGCACTATGAACCTCGCACAGGTCCTGGAAGGTCGCTATAAACCCCTCACAGGTGCTGGCAAGTCATTATGAACCCCCCACAGGTCCTGACAGGTCACTATGAACCCTTCGCAGATCCCTATGAACCCCTGGAAGGTCCTGGAAGGTCCCTATGAACCCCTGGAAGGTCCTGGAAGGTCACTATGAACCCCAGCAGGCCCCTATGAACTTCTGATAGATTGTTATGAACCTCTCACAGGTCCTGGAAGATCACTATGAACCCCTGGCAGGTCCCTGTGAACCCCTGGCAGTTCCCCACAGGTCCTGGCAGGTCCCTGCATACCCCTGGACGGCCACTGGCAGGTCCTGGCAGCTCCCTGTGCCGCAAGGTCCTGTCAGCTCAGTACCCCCCAGCCCTGCCAGGTCTTGTCAGCTCCCCCAGGTCCTGGCAGCTCCCTGTGCCCCCCAGGGTCCTGTCAGCTCAGTACCCCCAGGTCCTGGCAGCTCAGTACTCCCTAGCCCTGCCCCCAGGTCCTGTCAGCTCACAGTGCCCCCCAGCTCCCCCAGGTCCTGTCAGCTCACAGTGCCCCCCAGCTCCCCCAGGTCCTGGCAGCTCCCCCAGATCCTGTCAGCTCACAGTGCCCCCCAGCTCCCCCAGGTCCTGGCAGCTCAGTGTTTCCCCCCCAGCCCTGCCAGGTCCTGTCAGCTCACCGTGAGGCTCGGGCTCCCTGCGCTCGGGGGGCTCATCCAGGGCCGAGATGGCCGAGCTGATGCTCTTCTGCAGGTCCTGGCAGCTCAGTACCCACCCAGGTCCTGTCAGCTCACAGTGCCCCCCAGCTCCCCCAGATCCTGTCAGCTCACAGTGCCCCCCAGCTCCCCCAGGTCCTGGCAGCTCAGTGTTTCCCCCCCAGCCCTGCCAGGTCCTGTCAGCTCACCGTGAGGCTCGGGCTCCCTGCGCTCGGGGGGCTCATCCAGGGCCGAGATGGCCGAGCTGATGCTCTTCTGCAGGTCCTGGCAGCTCAGTACCCACCCAGGTCCTGTCAGCTCACAGTGCCCCCCAGCTCCCCCAGATCCTGTCAGCTCACAGTGCCCCCCAGCTCCCCCAGGTCCTGTCAGCTCACAGTGCCCCCCAGCTCCCCCAGGTCCTGGCAGCTCACAGTGCCCCCCAGCTCCCCCAGGTCCTGGCAGCTCACAGTGCCCCCCAGCTCCCCCAGGTCCTGTCAGCTCACAGTGCCCCCCAGCTCCCCCAGGTCCTGGCAGCTCACAGTGCCCCCCAGCTCCCCCAGGTCCTGGCAGCTCAGTGTTTCCCCCCCAGCCCTGCCAGGTCCTGTCAGCTCACCGTGAGGCTCGGGCTCCCTGCGCTCGGGGGGCTCATCCAGGGCCGAGATGGCCGAGCTGATGCTCTTCTGCAGGTCCTGGCAGCTCAGTACCCACCCAGGTCCTGTCAGCTCACAGTGCCCCCCAGCTCCCCCAGGTCCTGGCAGCTCACAGTGCCCCCCAGCTCCCCCAGGTCCTGGCAGCTCACCGTGAGGCTCGGGCTCCCTGCGCTCGGGGGGCTCATCCAGGGCCGAGATGGCCGAGCTGATGCTCTTCTGCAGGTCCTGGCAGCTCAGTACCCACCCAGGTCCTGTCAGCTCACAGTGCCCCCCAGCTCCCCCAGGTCCTGGCAGCTCACAGTGAGGCTCGGGCTCCCTGCGCTCGGGGGGCTCATCCAGGGCCGAGATGGCCGAGCTGATGCTCTTCTGCAGGTCCTGGCAGCTCAGTACCCACCCAGGTCCTGTCAGCTCACAGTGCCCCCCAGCTCCCCCAGGTCCTGGCAGCTCAGTACCCACCCCAGGTCCTGGCAGCTCACCGTGGGGCTCGGGCTCCCTGCGCTCGGGGGGCTCATCCAGGGCCGAGATGGCCGAGCTGATGCTCTTCTGCAGGTCCTGGCAGCTCAGTACCCACCCAGGTCCTGTCAGCTCACAGTGCCCCCCAGCTCCCCCAGATCCTGTCAGCTCACAGTGCCCCCCAGCTCCCCCAGGTCCTGGCAGCTCAGTGTTTCCCCCCCAGCCCTGCCAGGTCCTGTCAGCTCACCGTGAGGCTCGGGCTCCCTGCGCTCGGGGGGCTCATCCAGGGCCGAGATGGCCGAGCTGATGCTCTTCTGCAGGTCCTGGTTCTTGCTGACCGAATCCTCCTCGTCGGACGAGAAGCTCGGCAGCGTCTCCAGGTTCCTCTTGAGCTCCTCGTCCAGGCGCTTGCAGGGCGAAGGACACGCCATCACCAGCCCCTCGCCCTCCCCCGCCTCCAGAGACCCCCCCAGCACCGATGGGGGGAAGTTTGGGGGTCCCCCGCCGGTTTTGGGGGGCTTGGAGGGGCTGGGGGGGAGGGTTTGGCGCTTCCCGGATTTCAGGAAGTCCAGGAAGGAGGCCATGAACCCCGACTTCATCTCGGGTTGTTTCTCCTCCACCTCGCGCAGCTTCTGCTTCATCCGGCTCTGCGAGGGGTCCGGGGGCGGCTCCGAGACCCCCGGGAATGGGGAGGGGGCGGGGGGCAGCGGGGGAGGGGCGGAGGAGGGCGGGGGAGGGGCGGCGTCGGCTTTGGAGACGGCCAGTTTGATCTGCGGGGAGAAAATGGGGGTACTGGTTTGTACTGGTTTGTACTGGTTTGTACTGGGACCCCTCTGTGACCCCTCCCAGTTTGATTTATGGGGGTACTGGTTTGTACTGGTTTGTACTGGGACCCCTCTGACCCCTCCCAGTTTGATTTATGGGGTCACTGGTTTGTACTGGTTTGTACTGGGACCCCTCTGACCCCTCCCAGTTTGATTTATGGGGTTACTGGTTCATACTGGTTTGTACTGGTTTGTACTGGAACCCCTCTGACCCCTCCGTGACCCCTCCCAGTTTGATTTATGGGGTTACTGGTTCATACTGGTTTGTACTGGAACGGCTTTGATCCAACCATGAACCCCCCCCAGTTTGATCTGCGGGGAGAAAATGGGGGTACTGGTTTGTACTGGTTTGTACTGGTTTGTACTGGAACGGCTTTGATCCAACCATGAACCCCCCCCAGTTTGATTTATAGGGAGAAAATGGGGTTACTGGTTTATACTGGTTTGTACTGGAACCCCTCTGACCCCTCCCAGTTTGATTTATGGGGTCACTGGTTTGTACTGGTTTGTACTGGAACCCCTCTGACCCCTCCCAGTTTGATTTATGGGGTCACTGGTTTGTACTGGTTTGTACTGGGACCCCTCTGACCCCTCCCAGTTTGATTTATGGGGTCACTGGTTTGTACTGGTTTGTACTGGGACCCCTCTGACACCTCCCAGTTTGATTTATGGGGTTACTGGTTTGTACTGGTTTGTACTGGTTTGTACTGGGACCCCTCTGTGACCCCCCCAGTTTGATCTGCGGGGAGAAAATGGGGATACTGGTTTGTACTGGTTTGTACTGGAACCCCTCTGACCCCTCCGTGACCCCTCTCAGTTTGATCTATGGGGTCACTGGTTCATACTGGTTCATACTGGTTCATACTGGGACCCCTCTGACCCCTCCCAGTTTGATTTATGGGGTCACTGGTTCATACTGGTTCAAACTGGTTTGTACTGGGACCCCTCTGTGACCCCTCCCAGTTTGATTTATGGGGTTACTGGTTCATACTGGTTCGTACTGGTTTGTACTGGAACCCCTCTGACCCCTCTGTGACCCCTCCCAGTTTGATTTATGGGGTCACTGGTTCATACTGGTTTGTACTGGTTCATACTGGGACCCCTCTGACCCCTCCCAGTTTGATCTATGGGGGGAAAATGGGGTCAAAACCCCCCAAAATCCCCAAAATTCTCACCCTGAGAGCCCCCAGACCACCAATAACCCAAATTTGGGGCATTTTGGGATCTTTTGGAGCCCTCAAACCTCCCCAAATCCCCTCAAAACCCCCCAAATCCTCTCCCTGAGAGCCCCCAGACCACAAATAACCCAAATTTGGGGCATTTTGGGACCATTTGGAGCCCTCAAACCCCCCAAATCCCCTCAAAACCCCCAAATCCTCACCCTGACAGCCCCCAGACCCAATTTTGCCTCATTTTAGGATGACTTGGAGCCCTCAAACCTCCCCAAAATCTTCACCCTGAGAGCCCCCAGACCACAAACAACCCAAATTTGGGGTATTTTGGGATCTTTTGGAGCCCTCAAACCCCCTCAAATCCCCTCAAAACCCCCCAAATCCTCACCCTGACAGCCCCCAGACCCAATTCCACATCATTTTGGGATCTTTTGAGCCCTCAAACCTCCCCAAAATCCCCAAATTCTTCACCCTGAGAGCCCCCAGACCACAAATGACCCAAATTTGGGGCATTTTGGGACCTTTTGAGCCCTCAAACCTCCCCAAAATCCCCAAAATTCTCACCCCGAGAGCCCCCAGACCACAAACAACCCAAATTTGGGCCATTTTGGGACCATTTGGAGCCCCCCAACCCCTCTCACCTTGAGCGGCTTCAGCGGCTCCATCCCTTCTCCCTCCTCTCCTCCCTTCTTCCCCCTTCCTCTCCCTGAGAGCCCCCAGACCACAAATAACCCAAATTTGGGGCATTTGGGGATCTTTTGGAGCCCCCAAACCCCCCCAAATCCCCTCAAAACCCCCAAAATTCTCACCCCGAGAGCCCCCAGACCACCAATAACCCAAATTTGGGCCATTTTGGGGCCATTTGGAGCCCCCCAACCCCTCTCACCTTGAGCGGCTTCAGCGGCTCCATCCCTTCTCCCTCCTCTCCTCCCTTCTTCCCCCTTCCTCTCCCTCTCCCCCTCGGCCTCTTGGCTCCGTCGGGGAACCCGGGCGGCTCCAGGGGCCGAATCCTCGGCCTCCCCCTTGGCCTGGGGGGTCCTTCCCTCTTGGGCTTGGTGGGTTTCCTCCCTCTCTTTTTGGGGGCGGCGTGGGCTCCGGGATGGGGACAGAAATCGATGTCGCCCATGGGGGTGAGCGGGGGCCGGCGGCAGCTGGAGATGAGGTCGGGGAGGAGGTCGGGCAGACGCCGCGAGTTGAGGCGGATGTCGGCGGGCACGTCCGCCTTGTCCTCGTCGTCCTCGAACTCGTACTCCTGCGCGTAGGTTTTCTTGGGGGGCGGGAAGGGGTCCCTCTTCCGCAGCAGGTGGAAGGAGGAGGTTTTCAGCAGCTTCTTGGGTTTGGAGGAGCAGAATAAAGGCGTGCTGAGAGGAGGAGGGGGCTTGGGGACGCCCTCGCCCGTGCTCTGGATCAAACCCAGCGGCTCCGCGTTGACCGTGGAGGGCAGCTCGTGTTTGGGGGGCTCCAAGCCCAGCTGAGGGGGGTCCCCGCCGGCTCCTCCGTCCTGGGGGCAGAAGGAGGGGTAGCTCTGCCCCATGTCGTAAGGAGGAGGGGGCTTCAAGCCTTCTCCTCGCCCCTCCAGCCCGGCCCCGGCGTTGCCGCCGTCCTCCTCCTCCTCCTCCTCGCCGGCCTTGGGGAAATCCTCGGGCGGCGGCCCGAACATGTCCTCCATGCCGGGGAAGAAGCCGCGATCCTCGTCCTGCAGCAGAGCGTCCGGGAAGCAGATGGAGGTGAGGGGAACGAAACGCCCCTTGCCCCCGGCCGGGCTCCCCCCTTCGGAAAACTGATCCTTGGCTTCGGTGGGCACGGCCGGGACCCCCGCCTCGGGGTCCAGCAGGTGTCCGGCCGGGCCTTGCACGCCGGCGCTCTGCCCCAGGTGAGGTTCCAAACCCAGGGGGGGCTCCAGGAAATCCTGGATTTCTTGGGGAGGGGGCAACACCTCCATGGAGTCCGGGGGAAGCGGCGGCGGGGCCTGAGGGTCCAGCCCTTGCGAGCGCACCTGGTGCAGGTGAGCTTCCAGCAGCAGCTGCGGGGAGGGGGCGGCCGGAGGGGCCGGGGCGGCCGAGGGGGGCGCGGGGGGCGGCGGAGGAGGAGGAGGAGGAGGAGGAGGCATCCGCTGCTGTTCCAGCAGGTGAACGTCCAGCCTGCCCTTGGGCCGCCCGTGCAGCTGGCTCTGCGTGTGGGTCAGCACCGAGGGCAGCAGAGACCCCCCTAATTCAGGGGAGGGGTCCAGCAGGAGGTTGTGGGGCTCCAGGGGAGGCCCCTCGCCCACCAGCCGCCCGTGCTCGGGGGTCTTGGGCAGGTACGAGTGCGGCGGCGGCGGGGGCGGGGGCGGGGGCGGGCGC